CCTTTTCTTTGCTTTCTAAATTGTTTTTCAGAGTTTAAAAGAGGCTAAAAATCATGCTTTGAGGTTTCAAAAGTGGAGGGGTTAGCCACCCCTCCTTGTTCTTACTTACTAGCCTTGTTTTCTCTCTTTGTTTATTAGCTTTTTAGGCTCTTTTCATGCACTTTGAGCCACTATTTTTCACCCATTAAGGGTTGTTTTAGGGCTGTTCTAGGTTGTTTAAATAGTTCATGCTTTGATTAGCTTGATTGTTGTCTCATTAGTTTGCATACATAGCTTGTTGAATATTGTTCTTAGCTTTTCTTTAACTAACTTCCATGTTTAAGAACTTCATTTTAATAAATCAACTTGCTATTCATTTCTTTCATTTGAGAGTTATTTCAATCAGTTGACGGTTGTTCAAAACGTGAATTAGCGATTTATGCTTAATGGCTTAATCTCTATGGAGGTTCATTGACAATGGTGTATTCTCTCTTTCACGTTGAGAAACGGTGTATTCTCTCTTTCACGTTGAGAATCACCTCTCAATTGACATATTTCTCACTTAGTGGATGTAACAATCACCTTGGACTTAATGGATTAAAGGATGGCAAAGACTAATTAATTTGGCTTAAAATGAACCAACTCACATAAAGAAAATGAGTTTTATTGCTTAGGCTTCGGCCGGACGTTATGTCGACTTCGTTGTGTCAAGAGTTGTCTTACCTATCCCATTGAGTTCACTCTATGACAAGAGGGAGGGGTGGTTGTTATTCATCCCATTTATTGATTTTTGTCCAAATTGTACATCAAAATCATCAAGCAATCAATTTGCTCATTGATAGATTTGGAAACAATTCTACCCTTCTCTCAAGGCGTTCTCATGACAGAGAAGTGTGAGATGGACAAACAGAGTCCAGAACACTCTGTTTGCACTATTTTCACTTCAGAGCACAAAATGGAGGTGCATGAAACAGAGGCACGACCGGCCTTCCTTAGGCCTGGCCGAGTGTCAGTGAGGGCCGGCTGGGCATCAATGAATGGTAAGGCAGTGTGTTGGGCAGAAACAGAGGACAGTGGCTGAAGGTGAAACAGAATAATCTGGGTAGACAGAGCAGCTTCTAGACGCTGCATGCGAGCATCATGCATCTTCGGATTTGTAGCTTATTAATTAGTTACTTATTAATTCACTTGGTTTTGTAATAATTAGTTTAACTTGGACTATCGGACATTGATCCACGTGAGGATAAATATGTAATAATTTGTGTATATCTTCCAACCCAACGTCTTTCTTCCTTTTATTTACAAGCTTATGATGGTTAGTTTAGGACATCACGTTTCATTTAGCATACTTCATGTTTGCATCCACTTGTATTACATGGATGGAGGCTCGATTCATCATCCTAACTCGTATTGTTATTGCTTATACTTCGTTGAATACGTGTTTAAATAGCATACTATCAAATTGATCCATATGCCATATTAGCAACCGAGCCTAGTACTTGCATATCGTATGTGTTGCATTAGACATGTTGCATAGGAAGCATGCATTTTTCTAACTAGTTTCTCTTTTGGCTTGGAGTACAAGGTGAGCTTTTATTTGCTTTAACATGTTGCATGAATGTGATTATTGCTATGTCTAGCATGCTTGCCATGAGGTTAACTGCTTAATTGATAAATTGCTTGAATGCCTGTGGATGAAGGCTATTTGCTTGAATTGGAATAATTTGAGTAATGTTCATATGCGATCACTTTTTCAAGTGGTAAATATCCAAAACCCTTTTCGAAAAGCAAACATGAATCAAGTGTTCCAATGCTTGCAAAATTAGTCTATACTTGTATGCATCACATAGTAAGATAGTCTAATAATCAGAACAAGAACATATAATGTGGATAAAAATCACATCATGATTAGTAGAGACCGATCTTTGATCGGGCGAGTGGGGTGTTCAA